GTGTTTAACTAGCCTTGGTGTGACCAATCCTGTAGTTGTCCGGATCAAGTCCGATTTCCTCGAAACATCTTGCCGCGGCCTTTTTCGGCTCTGACTCAGCCGCCATCGCGGCTGGCGCTAAGATCATGTAACTGTACGATCATAACACAGAGATCATTCTATGACTTGTCAAACTTTTTTGTCTGCGTTTAATCAGTGAAATACTACGTTTCTACTTTTCATGCTACATCTATCTCGTTCTACGTTTCTTAATGGAAGCTTAAAGAAAATGAATGAAATAAATAAATAAACGGTGCGTTAAAAAATATATACTACCGTTGTAAGGAAATATGATATTCTATGTCTGACCATGCTATTGCACGTGTTGCTATCCTTCAGCTGTTTAATTAAATGTCAAATGAAACAGGTTTAAGATTGGAATGGACCAAAATGAAATCTTTGAATAACAGTCTTGGAACTATTGTTATTATGTATTTCTGCATTTGTTTCAAGACTTCGACCCCTTTGATAATAACTTTGAAACTGATAGTCACGTTGCACGAAATCTATTAGGGTTTACTTCATTCTATTCACTGAGAATTGAAAGACACACTAGCTATGTTCCCAAAGTTTACTAAAATCTCAGTAACCCATCCTCAGCAACATTCCCAAAAATCTAGATTAATCTGTGAACTCAGTAAAATGTAAAATTTCAAATCCTAAAATATTTGTGCTTAAGACCATCAACCTAGAATAGCCTATTATCAACATATGTCTACCAATAACAATAACAAAAACAAAAGCAAAAGCAAAACATTTACTATGCTGTTTCCAAGCTTTCCAACTAAAGTCACAAGATTCCCTAAAGTCAGCAACATTTCATTCCCAAAAATCTCAAGGAATCTGTAACTCGGTAAAATGTAAAAGTTCAATCCTACAATATTGGTGCTTAAGACCATCAACCTAGAATAACCTATTATTAACATATACCAATAACAATAACAATAACGATAACAATAACAAAAACAAAAGTAAAGTATTTGCTATGTTCTTTCCAAGCTTTCCAACTAAACATTGAAGCAAAGACTCACAAGATTCTTTAAAGTCCTGAAGAGGGGGGCATGAAATATTAAAAAACCTCTTTGACACGTTTGCTACGATACGTTTCCGGAGAAGTATTCGTTGAAGAAATGTCAATTCTTACCGTAGTTTGAAGTCAGGGTACACCATTCTGTTGGGGAATCCTTTACGACAGATACGGATGCCTTCAAGTACACCGTTACAGGTCAGCTGGTGCATGACAAGGTGAGAATCGATGACACCCGGTTGTTTCAACTCATTGGGAATGATACAACGGACGAAGTGGGGTTGGGTAGCTCTCAAAGTGGTCATCAGGTTGTTCAATTGTTCCCTGTAGGACGACGACACCGTCGAGAAGCCACCACCCTTCTTACCACGTCCACCTTTGCCGCCACCGCCACCACCACCGCCGGCATCACCGGACTGACCAGGATGATCGGCGAAGATCTCGACCAACAGTTTGTTAGAAGATTTCTTGAATTGATCGACCACAGTGTCGTTCAACGGGTCCTTGTTCTTTTCCAGCCAGCCCGTAATGTTGTATGGTACCTGTCGTCGTTAACACATGATTATTCCTCGAGCAACTATCATACTATTGGATTGAGAAGATGATTATAGATTATCGTGCGATGAACGGTATGAATAGCGTCATTTCTCTTAACTCTATCCGCCGTTTCTGAGAAACTCAGTGTAGAAAGTTCAAGTTTTAACTGTTGCCAGCTAGTTCTTAGCTTTTAACTCTTTGCACTCCGAATTTCTTCATTTTTTCCTCGATAACTGTGTTATTAGGATATTTTGAAAAAAGTAGTTTGTAGAGAGCAAGCGATTCTTCTTACTGATAATATTGAAAATAACACAATAAGATAATCTATTTGAAAAATATTGACAAAGAATCACACTTGTGAGTAAAATGTCGCATCAGTATCAACTTTCTGAATCCAACAGAAAGTTTGTGTTTCCAAAATAATTCTTGTGTTCATTGTGGCATCTGCGCAAATGCTTGAATTAGAATTACAGAATTATTTTGTAAATTAATTATTCAGTTTACAGTGCCACGAGAACGTGCGTTATCTTGTTCCAGAGGATCCATAGAATCTTCTGGAAGAAATGTTTGTGTCATTTTCAGAATTGGTGAAGTCTACATTTTCTCGGAAACATGAGTTTAAAGTTAAGAGAACAATGAATGACGGTATTTGCATCTACAATTAACCATTTTCACTTTGTCAGTTGGGCAAAGAAGATACAGACTGAAAAGATTAAGTACGAAACGGTTTGAAACGTACGTTTCCGGCATAATGGCCGATAGCGAAGTGAGCTGCTTGCTGGCCTGGCTTCGGTGGTTTGGGTTTCAAGTAGTTAGGACTCTTGCCGAGATGGTTGTTGTTCAATTTCTCCTCGAAGGTCTTGTCGGTGGCTTTCGGGAACATAGATTCTTCTTCAAGGATGGACAGGATACCCATAGGCTATTGTTGGGAATTGAGAAACTACGTTAGCTTCTGTGCTGTTCGTGGAAAAGTATTATTCTCTGAGAGTAACGTTCTCTGTCGTAATTAAAACCATGAGAAACGTGTTTTCTCTGAAACACACTTTACAAAATCTTTGAAATTTTCGATAAATCACTTCCAATGAAAATGAAGAATTCAGTGTACCAGTTCATTGAATATTCTGTTTTGCAATTTGTTATATTGATCATTATTACTTTCTGGACGGTTCAAAGATTATACTCGTTAAAATGGAGTTGAATTTATCATGAAACATTATATTCAATTATAACCTGTGAGACAGGTTTAGATAAGCATCGAACTTGTTTTTCCAATGAACAAACGTTACTATCAAATTTTCATTTTAACATAGATATTTAATACGTGTGATCTGATTAAAGATCACTTAAAGACTTCAGAAGCATATTCCTGAAAATGGAACAAAGCTTCAGGATAAAAAGTAGTGAATTGATAGATCTGTTTGAAATTTATATATTCATTTTTTAATACTTTTACTATTTATTTTTCATATTTTTAGACTGGTAACTCTTATTAGAGAAGAACGTTCATTTGTTCTATTTGATCTATCAAACACTTTTTATCCCTGATTCATTTCACTATTCTAAGAAAACACATACAGAAACACATTTACATGCAGGCGCGGTACATAGCAAGCTCGTGAACCAACACATTACCGTGCTCGACTGATACATGAAAAATCTTCAATATCCTTCCATTCCATGATCTCATTTGTTCGAAGCAAATGACGCTCACATATTCATAACACTTCCTTCTTCATGGATTTCATACAAACCTCTTTGTACTAATTGTATGATCGACATGCATCAACAAAAAGGGAATGTGACCTACAGGAAGCTTCAAGGTGTCCCACGTGGGTTCACTTTTCTAACATATTTAACGTTTCTAGGAAAAGGATACCATCTGAGCCAAAGTCAAATGAATTCAAACTGATAAACAACTTGATAAACGTATGAAAAATATTAATGACATTTCTAACTATGAAATATACTCTGGAATGTAATTTTAATTTGATCTAAATGATCTGAGCTAAAGGCAGATCAATTAAAAATGATAAACAACTTGATAAACACATGAACAATATTAACGACATTGTTTACCATGAAATATATAATGAAAAGTAATTTGAATTCATCTACTTTGGTCCAGACGTTAATTTTCTATCACCATTGGATGGTTTGGAAAAACAAATGTGAAAAAAATATATGAACCTAACAGGACATCGATTAAAGTATCAATGGATAGGAATGCAAACATTAATATTTTAGCTTGAAGGGGAGGCTAGTTAAAATCAAGCATTTAAAGAGTAGAAGAATGTTATTATGCTAATCGTTGCTGTGTTGTCGAAACGTCGTCCGTAATTGTAGTCCTTCTGTTTCGCAGCGATTCTATGGCGAAGAAAGCCGTCGGCTTCCGGTCATTCCTGGTGTTTCATGCCACGGCTTGACAGTACCTTCTCGATCAGATCGATCGTCTGCTGTAGATCCATGCCAAAGTCAATGAACGTCCACTCGATCCCTTCGCGTTTGTATTCCTCTTGTTCGAGAATGAACATATGGTGGTTGAAGAATTGCTGAAGCTTTTCATTGGTGAAGTTGATGCAGAGTTGTTCAAAACTGTTGAACTGCTCGTTACCAAGGAGGGTAAAAGCAACGGAACAGAAAACAGAGGCGAAAGACAGCCGTCATTAATGCTGCTTATATTAGAAATGAGATAGGTATTATGATTAGGGTTGTAATAGAAATCGCTGTTGCTCCGTTTCTCGTAGAGCAACAGTATAAGAGGGTGTTGTACGTTTGTTAACAGAACACAAAGTTTCCAGTTACGTGTCCTGTAGGATTGTTTCGTTCGTGGACACTTCGAAATTTCGTAATTTGTGAAGATTAGTGGTTCGAATGATTTGAAACGTTTTCATATTTCGGAAGTTGATACTTTGTGAAGTTTGGTACTTCGAAATCTAATTCTTTGCAATGGTTGGTACTTCGAAATGTAATACTTTGCAAAGTTTAGTACTTCGAAATGTAATTATTTGCAAAGTATAATACTTCGAAATGTAATATTTAGCAAAGTTAGGTGCTTTGACACTGAATACTTTAGAAAGTTTAACATCTCAAAATTGAACAACGCTTCAATCACAAAAATAAAACTTGTCTCTTCACTTGCATTCGAAGCATCTCGAGGAACATACAATACAAGGGAGGAGACATTCATAAATATGGATTACTCAGTAAACATTAATAAAGAATACAAAAGTTCATTGATTTAACGTACTAAATTGCTATCAATAAACTTTCGTTTCCTAGCAGAAAATAAACTCTGATCCCGAAGGATCAATCATCAATCACTTAAATAAAAAGGATAATAAATAGTCTCTTGGATTACTGGAAGTTACGTGACATCAAATATTAAGGTAGAATCTTTAAGCTCGGTTCCAACGAACATCTGACCCCAAAATTCCATTAGACAAACCCTCTCCCATACATCATTTTTACCATTCCCATTACATTACAAATTCCAATTCCTTTTTCAGTCCCCATTAACCGTCCCAACCAATATCCCTTTTATTCGCAACCATCAAATAAAATGAAAAAAAAATACTCAAGGAACACTCGTGAACCGTGCTTAACGAACATTGTTCACCGTTACGGATGATTAAAATGAATCAGTTCAGAGATAGACTAGAGTACCAGACACGACATCGGTGCCGTTGCAGGGATAAACAAAGAAAGAAATAAAAAGACAGAAAAATAGATGATGCAAGGTGATGAGAGACGAAAAACACTGGGGTCTCAGACGTGTCGGTTGTGTGATGCACTTGGGATTGCAACAATGAAAGACAACAAAGTAGCGTCAATAATAAATGGTAAAACTGGAGGGGTGGTAAGCGTACACAAAAACTGTGCCAATAATCTACCATCGCAATGCCGTTTGACCATAACAGGAGGTTCAGATTCCATTCTCGGTCAAAGAAGCTCTTTCTCTCTCTCTCTCTCTCTCTCTCTCTCTCTCTCTCTCTCTCTTTCTCTCTCTCGACAAAAACATCATGTCCGTTGACCAGGCTCGTCGACCGTCATCCATCGATCAAGTTTGTCACGTGTTCGTTCGTTTCACTTTGGAATTTGAGAAAATCGTGGATTATACCTTCTCAATCAGTTCGATACAAGCGGCCAAGTCCATGCCGAAGTCAATGAACTCCCAATCGATGCCCTCCTTTTTGTATTCCTCTTGTTCGAGTACGAACATGTGGTGGTTGAAGAATTGTTGTAGTTTCTCATTGGTGAAGTTGATGCAAAGTTGCTCGAAGCCGTTATACTGTTGCGCAGAATCGCGCGCGCAGATTTTCGTGCGTGGGACGAAGAGAGGCACAAGGAGAGACACACAGGTGAGAGAGAACAGAGAAAAAAAAGAACAAGGGAAGAAAAGAACGATCAGTAACGACGAACTCTGGTGGTTTTTCGGTTGATTGATTGATTTTGGTTCGTTCGTTCATTGGTTCGCTGGCCTGGTTCTTGTCTGAGTCCTTTTTGAGGTTAAGTGTGGTCTGGCGTGTGGTCGGTGGTTGAATTGATCGTGGTGCAGTGTGTGTCGAGTTGTTTCAATGGTGTTTCGAGTGATTTAGAGTTGGGCATAGTTTGTTTGATATTTCTTTTCGTGATGATTCAACGTTCTGTGTCTTAAGGGCTAGTCATTTATTTTCCATTAATTCTTGTAGACCTGATATTGTCTTTAAGTGAATTGAAGCTTTACCGATAAACTCGAAGAATAGAATAATCTGAATTAACCCCTTGTCCTACAACGAATGAGACTCGCGATGAAGATTTTTAACATGATTCAACAAATATATATATATATATATATATTACAGTTGACCCTCAATTTACGCGGTCAATTGGAACACTATTTATGCGGTAGTTTTTACGTGATCTGAATTTAGTAAAGGTGTACTCAGTTTATTCGAATTCAAAGTGAATATTATTCCTCTAAAATCAACTGTTATACTTAAAAGGAAATATAGGCATAACATATGCTTAGAATTTTTCTGTTTTTCCAATAAATTATTAATGACAAAATAGCTGTACCGATCAGAGTTTAGAAAGAAATCATAGGCCAAGGGGTTAGGTCGAATCCAAGACTGAAGAGACCGATTATATATTTATATGTAATAATATGGAAAGATTTTGAAAAATTTTGACTATAAATATGTATGTGTTATATATTGAAAAGTTACTAGTAAAAAGAACTTGATCTGACAGAAAGATATAAAGAAATATACAATTTGATATAGTAACAAATTTCATTAAAAAACTGTTTAACACTACTTCTACCGAAGGTGTCTTCTGAAATTTTAATTGGAAATTATTTTCCTAGTTTAGTCGTGTCTTAATTGAATTTTCGACTGTTCCAAAAACAATTAACATTAACTACAGGAAATGTCCAAAATTGAATTCAGGAAAAATGACTAAACTTAAAAAATAATTTTAAGTGAAAATTTCCTACGGTGTTCTTTGATATCGGTAGAAATAGTGTTAAGTAACGCTCGAAGTCAGGTGAACAAGTTTAATAGCCGTACGTATTGCAAACGCGGGAAGTCATTAAACTTCAAATTCACAAATCTAACGGAAATACGACCATAGAGACATTGAATCATACGATTGAAAAGTACCAGCTATATTCTCTATTCCTCAAACGAGGTTATAATATTCATCGTGTACACCGGCAAAGTGTTCTCATGTTCGAAGTTGCTAGAAGGAAATTTGTAGGCAACGACGATCGACTAACGTCAAGAAAAAACTCAGGATTGGATTATGCGAACAGAGCGATGAACTGAAGTTGCCTAAGCGAGACGATGTGCTGCTTTGCTTCTCACTGAAACGCGAAACCACACGGCCGAGCAGAAAAAAAGGACAATAACAAAATGAGACAAAAGTTCACGATGTAAAAAAATCAATTTAAGATTGGTTACTGCCAATCCAATGAAAACAGTGGACGATCGTTACTGGCGTTTGTGTTGTAACAGAAGCGTTAAGATAATTGCGTTTGCTGCACGCGTGGATCGTTGGTGGTCCTGTCACCGATCCGTTATCGACGGAGCAACCGCCGGTGCTCGTCGTCTGCTTTTGCTTTCTCCGAAAAAATTCATGGCTGGATCCGACAGATGGATCTGTGTTCGCCATTTGACCGATTTCATTCGTCTTTTAGCATGTTGTACCTTCTCGATCAATTCTATACACGCGAGGAGATCCATGCCAAAGTCAATGAACTCCCATTGAATGCCCTCCTTCGTGTACTCCTCTTGTTCGAGGACGAACATATGATGGTTGAAGAATTGCTGAAGCTTCTCATTCGTGAAGTTGATGCAGAGCTGCTCGAAGCTGTTGAACTGTTCGAGCAACAATAGTATCGTAAGCTGCATCCTTTTCTCGTTAATCTATCAGGTCCAGCCTGTTTTGTGCTTTTGTTTCCGTGACCTTTT